TATATGGATAGTTTTTCTTTTTTTCAATAACAAGCTGCAATGAAGTGGTGGGCACCAGCCTGCTAAAACGCAAATCAGCTAATTGCAGACATAAATAATTCATTTGCACTTTGGCAGTTTTTCTAAATTTTATGTGGCGTTAGTGGAATTGTGCTTCCCGAAATTAAAATGTAATACGCTGGAGCTCAATACTTGACGTAATTGGTCGAAGCAACGGGGTTAAAGACTCAGAAATGATTTAAAGATGTTATGCTGATGAAGACTGACACCTAGTGGTCAACTGGTGCAACTACATGGAAAACTTTAAAATCCAAGCTCTTATTTTGAAGTGAAGACAGTTTCCTGTACTCCATGCTTTCGTTTTCCATCACAAATCAAATCTGTCACGTATCCAGAATGCATCGCTTCATTTGTCCAATAAACAGTTTTAAAATTACTTTATTGATGCTTCTTTAATGAAAAATCTACAACAAACAAAAGAAAAAGACCAAGAAGCAGCCGAACTAGCAATCCTCAACAACTTTTTTAATTTTTACACCAGGAGCTAAAGGTCTGTTTCAGGAAATCACATCCCCAGTAATCGGCGGTTGTAGGATTAAATTGTAAAAGGCTTCATACACCACTAGTTGGCGGTGTTGTACATATATTATTCATGATCTTGTTGCCAGCTGTCAAATTGGACGTGTGCTTTAGAATTGGGTTCCACTAGTTTTTCTATGACATAAGCGCTTTTGAAGTTGCGGACCTAAATATTTTCATAAACGCTTTAGAAATTACAGAGCTAATTTTGGATTAGTGCTGTCCAGCACTGCTGGAATGAAAACAAGCAAAAATTAAATTAAATTGATGACTTTCTACTTCTTGCCTTTTTAAAAAATGTAAGGAGAAGTAAAAAGTGGCTGAAAAGTTATTACTCAAGTAAAATACAGATACTCAAAAATTCTACTTAAATACAGTAAAGAAGTGTACTTAGTTACTTTACAACTCTAAGTGCTATATGCTGCATGAGATCTTTACTTGAAACGTTAAGTATTAATTTTTGGAATCAACACTATTTGTCAGTTAGCAGAGCATCTCATGAACCACTGGGTAGATATAATTTTCAGAGAGTAAGCATTAGACATACTGTACCTCTGCAAATGCTTAACTTTTTAAGTCAGCCCAATTCAAGATGGCTGTCACAGCTAAGTGACCTGAGCTAAGTCACTTCTACAGATATTGAGCCAAAATTTAGCTGGAGGTCATTCACGACATACTCTGAGAATGACAATATTGCATGACGTGCATAAGGATATCTTATAGGTTTGAACTAAACAGATACAACTTTGTGTTGTTTTAATTTCTGCACAAGATGATCGTGGTCTAAAACTTTGGAATGCAGGCAGCAGGTGACAGGCATTACTTTAGGCCTTTAATTTAATACAGTAAAGCTTCACTGCTCTGCATCAAACTAACTTATTTTTACAGGATCCATGGTAGGTGTCAAAAGGACTAAATGTAATTATAAAGCAGTGGAAAAAAAAAAAACAAATAATTGACATAGGTCCTCTTCAGCCAGCTGGAAAAGTAACAAGCCACAAAAAGAGAGAGATGTCTTTAGTATCCAGAGGGTTCTGTCCAAACTCAAACAATGTGAGGCACAAATAATAACTGAGTGGTACAATCACTACACTGAATAAAACATTTGATGATACATCAGGAAGAAACCCACCTGATAAGTCAGTTAGACGGGGATGGAGGTCACAAACAGCAGACAGGACTCAACATACAGGACATGAAACAAACATCTTTCTCTTGTCATCATTCTGAGCACATGAAGGCAGAGATTAAGACAATAGCTAAGCAATAAGACACTGAGAAACACAAGCTGGTAGCTGCAAGTTAACAGAAACATCTGCACCAAAGTCCCAGAGGAAAGAGTGACAGTCCTTTTAGAGCTCAGAAACTGAGAACTGCAGTTAATAGACATAAACCAGACGAGCCGGGACAGATGACTGCTGAGAAACATTTAAAATGTCCTGACACTCTGACCCACTGAGATAACAACATGAGATACAAGGATCAACACTGGAGTCGTTCGTTCAGACTAACAGCTTATTGAACCCACTGAACCAAACAGCTATACCACCCTGAACATGCCACATCCTGTCTCTTGGAAACTAAGGTTGGGTCTGGTTAGTTCTTGGATGATAGACAGCCTGGGAATGACCCATGACCCCCCCCCCCC